ATCAGTGGTGCGCATCCTTCGGTCCTCTGTGGAGGATCGAACCCATGACTGCTAGTGGCTCTTGCCAACTAGCCCGCAGCTTATGCAACTGCGCCATGGAGGACGGTATCTGACTATCGTGAATTGTTGGCTATATCGCATTTAGCTAACAATTCACGATAGTCAGATACCGTCCTCCATGGCGCAGTTGCATAAGCTGCGGGCTAGTTGGCAAGAGCCACTAGCAGTCATGGGTTCGATCCTCCACAGAGGACCGAAGGATGCGCACCACTGATGAGCCCCAATAGGGCGAAACGGCCGTCTGGTGCTTTTCCGGACAGCTGGTCGACATATCTGAATTGTCGGCTGATTGCGATGAACAAAAATACTCACCAAAATCCTTCCATTCACAAGTAGTCTGTTGAACTGTTTGTCTTAGAGTTCGAACGTTGAATGTCGCCATGAAAACGGGATAGCGTGGCCTTATAAGGGACTTTTGCCGATAGCCGTCCGATAGGTGCTGTGGGATGGTGGCTGCAGATAGTTCTACTCCAGTGGCATTTCAGTTGCTGTCAATTAAGCTGGGAATTAAAGAAGGAAGGTTAGTAATGGGGGCCGGGATGGGAGTAAGAGAAAAAGGTGGAAAAGAAAGAAGGGAGGCGCCAGCAGTTGCATGTTTTCGCTTAATCGCCCTGCTGTATGCAGCAGATAAGGTGACTCTTGATAATCTGCGCGACGGCCGATGCAGGATGAAGTTTATGTTTGAAGAAGATGTCATGGTTGTATGTGGGTTGAGATACTGCCAGGGCGTCCAGACCTAGACAGGAGGACGATTAGGGTCCTCATCCAAAGCCTCTGGCTCAAAAGCCTGTCTGCATGGCAGCGGGGAGGGGGCAATGATTTAGTTTTACAGAAATGGACGCCATCCCATTTCAAACCACCAAACTGAAGGACCAGGAGACTAAGTTTGTCTGACCTCTCATTATTGATCAACCTGGTAGGAGTAGCTCTCAAGGGGCCCGGTGGCGTCACCCAGTATAGCTCAATGGGTCAATGAGGTACGCAAACCTTCGTAGCACGTTAAGATCCAGTCTCGTTGCGATAGAAGGCGTCAAAGACTGGAAGTCAACTCGCTGGCATGCTGCGGAGAGCATTCAGACGGTATGATCAGTCTGTTTGTTCGCAGTGTGTTTAGAAGCACATGTAGAATAAGTAATCCAGGCCTGACAGCATTGGCGTAAGCAAAATCTCGCAGAACTCGAGACATCGCAGCGAAGAATCAACAAGCGAGTCGAAGGCTTGTTCCATCTTCCTTATTAACCTAAGCTAAGGACTTAGATTGTACAGCGGTCAGTATCGGCGCGTACGTGGCGACCTAATAATGAGTTACCAGATTTTGAGGAACCCCAACCATATCTGGCGCCACCTACTACCACAAGTCAGTCACAAGACGAATTTGAGAGGCCACCGGCTCAAGTCGGCCACACAATACAGTCAACTAGAATGTCCGCGGAAGTTTTACTCTATTCGTGTCTGTTAGCCATGAAACACCCTCACAACTTACGTTATTTCCCTCACAAATTTAACTATGTTTAAAAAACTCTTTGCCGTAACCCACATACATTAGGAGGTATATGACCTGTGTACATAGACAGACGATTTGTTATAATGGGACAAAGTTTGCGCAACCAATAAACACCTTCGCAATCGATGTTAGCTCTTTTCTGAATGCCTCTATGTGACCACTGTGGTGAATGCACCTAAACGATCTTCAGTGTATCACTTTGTTTTCATCTCCCCATGTTGTGGTTTTCCTTGTGGTCATTCTAAGGGACTCGTTAAGCATCTTCTTCATTAGTAATAATAATAATCTCCAGCCGTACGCCGTACCGGGGCTTCGCTATCATGCGGCCACCACCAGTCTTACGAGGGCTGAGTATACCGCGAAGACGCCCACCCCTACGCGGATTCAAACCGGTGAACTTACGTTTGCAAACCAAGCGCAAAGACCGCGGCAACTGGCCATTGTTCCATTAACGTGGTTGCGTCATGTCCTGCGCGTGCCGTGCGAGTGACTACCACGACGCGCTTTATTCGCTGGCAGAGGGTAGCTGTGGAAGAAATCTCCCAGTAGTCAGCTCATTCCATAGCGAAAAAAGGTTAAAGCACTGAATTTCATTTTAGCTGTCTTCGGTACCTTGTGTCTTCCGGACTGGGGAGCCGAGGATAAATAGTACCTCCGACTGGGAACCTCTCAGTGCACGGCACAGAATTGGACTAAATGAGAGATTTATATGAACAACATTGAAACCATTAAACTGGCAAGAAAGAAGAAAAACGGCGTGCATGCAACGCAAAAATCGTTTTATCCGGTTACCTCTTCGTGCTCGTTGCACTGATTACGCACATACATTCCATGGTCCTGGTGGCTCTTTATCAATTGCATAGAGATCTACTGATATATATATATATGTGTATATATATACATATATATATCTAAATCTGCGCAACATGTGGCCCAGCCATCGGAGCCTGGTGCGTGTATAATGGTGCTGAGCGGTTCACTCGCTCCTCCTGCATCAAATGCGCGACGCCGACCACGCTCATTGCTCACGCGGTGTTCCGACCAGACATGAGCTCGACTACGAAGGCAGCGATGAGCGAATGTGATGAGCCTCTTTATGTCTGTCGACCTGCTGGGCCAGATAGACATATAGGATTGAACGCATGGCTGCGTTATAAACTCTCACCTTCAGGGCGAGAGTAATGTCGCGTCTGCGGCACAGGTGACGGAGGTTGGCAAAAACACGTCGGACTTTTGCTGTACAGTTCGTAACCTCATCTTCGATCCCACGGGCGCTACTATAGCTGCCCAGGTACTTGAATTTCTGAAGGACTTTTAGCTGATTACCATAAAGCGTTAGCGCAGGGGTGGGTCCCTGTCCATCTTGGAGACGTACTTCGTATTTCGATGGGGCAAAGCATAGCCCAAAACGATACAGCCAGTGTTACTCAAGCCAGAGCTGCTTGGCATGTTTGGGAGATGTCACAGATTAGGGCAATATAGTCCGAGTACTCCAAATCAAGAAGCCAGTCACCAGGAAGTAGCTCTACACCTTCTTGGTCGCGTCCAGAGAATGCTGATTATATGCCTACGTCTACTGCGATGTTAACTAAGCAACGTGACAGTGGGCAACCTCGTCTTACACCGCTGATGATACTGAATGGTGGCGACAGTTTCCCATAAACCCTCACTCTGCCCCAACTTTGCGCGTACAGCACTTGGATAATGTTTGCGTATTTATCAGGCACACCTTTCCTCAGCAGACAGTACCAAATGGCACATCGATCGCCTGAGTCGAAGGTGCCTTTTATGTCAAGAAACAAGACAACAGCGAGTCGCCAATAGACACGGAGCCAACATAAAACAACGGAGATCAGCGGATAACGGACCGTCATCGCGTCGTAATCATGGTGGCATGCTAGTTGAAGGTGAACAACACACTTCAGCTAATATGCCGCAGGAAGAATGGAACATTTTGACAAAAAGTAGAACAAAACATGTTTAGTTTGTTTTTCACACGCTGACTTTTCTCTTTTTGTCACTTTCAATGTTTGTAGTATTAAACAGGTGAATCAATACAATACTGTACACAACTCTTCCGCTGATTCCGGTTGCGGGACATGTCTTCAAGAGTGCTAAGCCATTGGAACTCCTCATCTTTGGGTCCCCATCCTGGAAGACGTACGGATCGGACAGCGGTTAGACCCGACGTCAGTGATTTCATGTGCAGCCTCCAAGTGGAAGGCTAATCACCACGCAGTCGTCTTCAGCCAAGTCCTTGACAAGCGAATACAGTGCGACGCGGTAGACGCTCAGGTGCCATGCGTAGGACGTGACCGAGCCATCTTAACTGGTGCAACAAAACCAGTTTGTTGAAGGGAATACTCGCATTCCCCAAGTTGCGACGTCGAACGTCAATACTATTAACTCGATGTTGCCACCAAACACGAGCGATCCTCCTTAAGCAACCGTTATCGAAGGCAGAAAGACGACGTATGTCTTCCACACGAATCGGCGAGGACTCGCTCCCATACAACAATGAGCGAACGGATGCGTTGTTAACGCGGCCCTATAGCGAGAATGAGACGTCGCGACGGCCCCACAAGTGCCTCAGATTGACAAATGCTGATCGAGCTTTAGCGATACGAAAAGAGACTTCTTTGTTGATAGTGCCGTCAGTAGAAACACAGCTCCCAATGTAGACGAAACTATCTACAAGTTCAAGTTGTGCATCTTCGAGAGTGAGCACGGAGGCAGGTGAAAGTCAATCCTTGAACAGTACTTTACACTTCGAAGGGGCGAAACTCATGCCATACTTAGATGTATCCACCGCCAAACGATCCAGAATGAGTTGCAAACCATGAGGATCGTCACCAAGTAAAGTGATATCATCAGCAAAATCTAAGTCGGTCGCGCGCTCACCCGGTAGAAGATCTAGGCCAAAATGTTGGAAACGTTCTAGAGCATTCAACAGAACGTCTTCGATTGCGAGGTTGAAGAGGAATGGGGACATAGGGCAGCCCCATCGCACACCGCTATTGACAACGATTTGCGAGGAAGGCTTGCCATAGACCCTCCCTCTGCCGGATGTATGAAGGTAAAGTGCTCGCAAGATGAGGCGCCAATAAACATGTTGATGTTAAAGCATTGCAGTGAATCAGGTGGTAAGACATGGGCCAGCTCAACTTTAAAAATTATAGTCTAATAGCATGTCTTTTGACAGACTATACTGGATAAAAGAATTTTCCTATTGCTACCTTACCCATTATGGCCAGAAAAGAATTTATACCAACGTAAAATTGTCACATTTGGGATCAACACAAGTGGTAGAATTTAAAAATGCAGTCACCAAACAAAGTGTAATGCATGCTTGAAGGGCACCTACACTACAAAAGACACCGAGCATTGGGCACAGTGGTCAAGATAGCACAGCCAAAGAAATAATAATGAGACCTACCCCTCGGACCCGCCTGGAGTTTTTGAGGGCAGACTATCGTAAACAAAAGCCCCCTTTAGTTTCCGTTTGCAGTACATTATCGCGTAACACAGCTGAATGCGTGCAAGGGATGTCTATTGGCTTTGCTCTGCAGAACACTAATATTGATTCCCTCATTTGAACGAAGCATATGACTCAGGAAGAAAGGTTGAACAAAACACGACAGGATAGGATCCAAGGACGAAACAAGCTTCCACTTAACTAGCGTCCCGTTTCGTGTGCCAGTAAGCGAAAAAGAGCCCCAGCACTGCAACTTGATAGAATGTTCTTCATTCTATAATGGTGAAAAACAGAAGCAAGAGCAAGATAATCAACACACATTCATGAAGTCAGAATAATGAAACGCTTCACGATTTTGTGTATTCTGGCAAAAGTTTACCCGGCAGCAGAAGCTGAAGCAAGGTGTCTAAGCTGTTGACACATCGAAATCGTCAAAAACATTTGCAATTCCTGCGTTCGTTAAAGTCATTTGAAGCATACAGTAGATTAGAACGAACCCATTGCCGCGTTCAGCACATCACTACCGGACACCTTCCCTATCTTCTTCGTCATAGTCAGTTCAACTTAATGATAATGCATTGCTGCGGCGGTCACTGTTGATGAGGATGAGCACTGGATTTTACCAACTGAAGTACCATGAAACCAGTTGTCCGAATGCCTTATCGCATACGTATTTAACCAGCTCGAGGCGCTTTTGCTAACCATCGCCACTTATGGCACCAACACGACATCACTCGCAATGCAACAGTACGTTCGACCCAGCTGCACGGTTGTGAAACCTGGCCTGTTAAATCAGCAGACATAAAGAGCGTAGTTACGTTCGACCACCAGTGCCTTCGCAATTTATTTTACATCTGGTGGGAACACCATGTGAGTAACGAGCGTGTTCGATGCCTTGTTTACGGCATAAGAAAAGGAAATGAACCGCACAGCACCTTTATTTCACGCATCAGGCTCCGATGGCTCGGCCATGTGTTACGAATGCCAGCGCACCGACTCCCGCGACGCGTGTTGTTTACGCGCCGGGGGTGGGCATGGAGGAAAAGGAGAGGTGGCTAAGCGATGGCTTGGTCGAGAGCAATGTAGGCTGTCAATTCGAAACTGGCCTGGGTTGGAGCGTCTCGGTTCCCTGGTTGGGGTCCGAAAAACGATGAACACGTTTGGATGGTTACACTTGTTGATATGGCTGGGAGCCGACTTCAGTGGCATCCGAGCTGGGAGTTGCTTTGAACAATGAACAATGACTTTATACGGGTTAAGAAGCGTTGCTTTACAAGCCCCGTTGGATAGTTGGTGGGGATATAAACATAATAATTATGATGAAAAGGATAGTAAAATAGTTAATACTTTAAATATGAAAATAAGGACTTATCGTTTGCTTCGCTGCAGTCCTGCGATCCTCTTAGATTCACAGCATCCACAGTTAACAACAAATAATTCTAGGGTAAACTCCAGGTGTAGGATGGAGACATAGTGTTAAGTAACAAAGTGTAAGTGGATGAGTGCATCGTCCAACCGTCTTTTAAATACTGTTAGTGTCGGTGCAGAGACGACCGATTCTGGGAGAGCATTCCACGGGTGACAGACACGAATGGAAAAGAAATTTCTGCGGCAATCCAGACGACTGTATTGTTCTGCGAGTTTTAATGAGTGGCCCCTCAGGTTTGTATTGCTGCTGAGTTGCAGTAAAGGGCGGCACACATGATGTGGGTCTCGCAGAATCAAGTATGTCATAATCAGGTCGCCTCGTAGCCTGCGATAGCTTCCACTGAACAATCCTAGTCGTCGCAGCCTCTCCTGGTAGGACAGGTTGCGCATTCCAGTTACGTTCTTAGATGCCCGGCGTTGGGGATGCTCCAGTGCATTAAGGTCGTGTTTCAGCCATGGATGCCAGGCTTGAATTGCGTATTCGACATGGGGGCGAACATACGCACTGAGCATTTGTCGAAATATGGAGCTGCTTATTTGTCCAAACGCCCGCCTCAACAGCCCAACGTGTTGGTTCCCGGTCTTCGAGGCCTTTTCGGATTGGCTGGAGCAACCCAAGTCATCTTGAACCAGGACACCCAAGTCACGTTTGAGACTTGATTGTTGCAGTACATCCGTTCCGAGTCGGTATGAGTAGCTGCCGTGATGTCGGATGGAAAGCACCTTGCATTTACTGACGTTGAAATGCAATAAGTTTTGGATCGACCATTGATACACTGTATCTAAGTCACTTTGGAGCACAAGTTGGTCGGCGTTCGCCTGGATCCTGCGCCAGATCTTGATATCGTCGGCAAACATTAGGAAGTTTGAAACGATTCTCTGTGCAAGGTCATTAATAAACACCAGAAAAAAACGTGGACCTAGAACTGAGCCTTGCGGCACACCACACTCCACTTGTATGGGGTTCGATAAAGAGCTCCGAACTCTGACCACTAATTGCCTTTGAAATAGAAAGTTGGCGATCCAGCTTAAATGAGGGTCGCCGATCCCGTAATGCTGCAGCTTGGATAGAAGTATCCGATGGTCTAGACGATCGAAAGCCTTGGAAAAATCCAGATAGATCACATCAACACCTTCTCCAGCGTCGGCTGCCTCGGTCCAACTACTGCGTGCAATGAGTAAATTAGTTGTACATGACCGCTGTCGACGGAAACCGTGCTGCTCAGGAGTGATGATGTTGCAGTTTTCCAGATAGCACACCAGTGCATCGGCAACTATGGATTCCATGACTTTGGAGAGTATAGGAAGAAGGGTTACTGGGCGGTAGTTGGAAGGATCAGATCTGCCTCCACCTTTGTGAATCGGGCTTATTATTCCAAGCTTCCACATGGCGGGAACTTGGTTCCGGTCTAAGCAGTGCTGAAAAAACTGAGCTAAATATCCTGCCAGTTGGTTTGCTGCTACTCCCAATGCCCCAGGACGAATGGCGTCGACACCCGGCGAGGTGTGTTTGCGTAGAGAAGTCAGCTTTTGCAATACAGCCTCTGCGGTAAAAGTGATGTGGGTTAGTCCTGGTGAGCAGAATACAAAGCTTGGTAGATCGCTTGGTGGCAAGACCCTTTGAAACGTGGAGCGTATTGCATCTGCAGCGCGTTTGCAGCTTCCATAGACGTTCTTGTTGGGCCCTCAGCCGTCTTGAGTGGAGAAAATCCTTGCCTCACCTTTCGTAGGCTATTAACGTGCTTGTACAGCAGTTTGTGGTTAGCACTGAAGGTTTTTGCAATGTTCTGCTGATAATTGGCTTTGTCTTCTCTTAACAGTTGAGTGCAGTGGTTACGTTGAGCTACGTAGTTGTCCCAAGTTTCTGGTGCTGGAGCTTCTCTGTACACTCGCCATGCTGCGTTGCGTACTGTCATCCATATTCGGGTTCTGCTCCTAACGAAAGAAACGGATTTGCACTTATTGTAAGCTTTTATCTCTGAAGCCTGTGCAATCAGCTGACTGAATGTGTTGACGAACTCGAGCCAGGCGAGTTCCGGGGGTTCTTCTTCGAGGAAAGACCATGTTGTGGCGCTGACTAGCTGGGCGAGTCGGTCGTACCTTGTGATGGTTCGCACAGTATCATCGTTATCATTCCGATATTCTGCATCGCAGACGAAGTTGAAACTGATGACTGCATGATCACTGCGACCCAACGGGCAGTCTAAAACCAACGCATCAATCATATGCTCCTCGTTGGTAAGCACAAGATCCAACACAGATGGCCTGTTACCAGTTCTGAACCGAGTGGGCAAAGTGATGTGGTTGTAAAGAGGAGCAGTAGTTACTAGCTCTTGTAAATCGGTTTTGAATTGTTCGCCGGTTGTGGCAGGGGCTTCTAAACAATGTACGTTGAAATCACCCATGATAAGAATGTGAGTGTACTTTTGTTGTAAACTGCACCTTAAAGCAGCCATTAGGTGGTAGTCGGTTTCGGATGTTGAGTTAGGGGCGCGGTACACCAGGATAATAAGGCAAGCGTCCCTGACTTTTAACTGCAACCGGCACCAAAGAGAGTCGGGGAACTGCGAATCTGAATCCTCCACGGCTTCGCACTGTAAGTCGTTTCGGTAGTACAGGATTACCCTTCCTCCTTTTGTGAGCCTATCGTTCCGGATCAGCGACATGCCGGGTAGCGACACTTCAGCGTCCGTCATTCCCGTGTGCAACCATGTCTCGGTGATACCAATGACATCATACGAGCCGGAAGCTTGGCGATCTTTCAGTTCAGCCAGTTTGTTAGAAAGTCCCTGAGCATTTGTATACAAGCAGGCCAGTTTCTCGGTCTCTAGGAGCCCGCAGAGAGGTGAAGCTGTCAAGTGTGGGAGAATGCCGACCGATGGGAGGTCGTCAGTTATTCGTTTTTTGATGGGTCAATGATACCTCGTTTGCAACTTGATTCGGCCAAGGTGCGTCCCAGCCTTCGTTTAGACCTAGGTCAGAGTCACTTAAAGCAGCAGTCAAGTTACACTTCTGTACATTCGTCAGGATGCTTACTGCTTCAGTTGCTCTAATACTTGAGCTGTGCGAATTGTTTGCGACCTTTAACCGAATTTCGGAAGGAAGATGTTTCCGATTTCTCCGCCATCGATCTAAAACATCCTTTGCTTGTTGCTCTGACTGAACCACAAGTTTTAGGATTCTAGGGCCGCATCCTCTATAATTTAGTGAGAGAGGTATCCTGGTGAGCGATAGTGCCACAACGTCATCCAAAGAAAGTGTTTCACGAATGAACCGCCACTGTTCTAAATCGTGCTTTCCGGTATCTTGAACATGGTTAGAAGGATGTTCTGGCACGCCATGTATGAAGATTGTGTTTAGGCGGTCTTGCTTGCTGTGCCCCTCTTCGGTGTTTCGTTTTGGTTGTCGCGCGTTCCAAGGGACATCAGGATAGATACGTATCCCACAGGATTCGTGTTTTAGCGCGCTTGCGGAGAGCAAAACATTTTCCACGTCGGTGGAGGATTCTAGAGTTACTCGAATAAGTCTGGGTTCACCATAGTGTGGCGAGTTCGGATGACGAGTAATTCGTAACAAGTTTATGGGCTTGGCTTTGATACTCATCTGCATACACAATGAGTTCCATTGGTCTGGGTCGTCTGATAACTTATCCCGCAATGTGATGGCGGTAGATTCAGGGACATTTGAGCAT